GATTTACTTAGTAGTTATTGCTCTATGTTCGATATAAAATTTTTTTCTTTTGTCCAATTTTGGTAAAGTGATCTACGGAAAAGAGTTCTAATTTCACTGATCCTTGTGTTGCTTCACATAATTCTTTATTTTTATGTTGCTAAGTACACTTTGAACTGCCAGAATAATATGGTAACCAGTCACCAAATGCTTTATTTTTTCATTAAAGATTATAAAATAAATTATTTTCATTAATTAACCTCCTAATCTCTTCTTTATTAAGTTTTATCTTCTTATTATTAAATTTTTCTTCATTACTGTTCTCAGATTTATAAATTAAAAGTTCTAGATTACTATATTCTGAATCACTATACTCAGAGTTACTATTTTCTTTTGAAAATCTTTTGCCATTATTCCTACTTTGTATAAATATATATTTTTTTATGGTATTTTTAAGTTTGACTTTGGCATTGTAAAATTTATGCATATAGAATATAACACAAATTAAGATAACAAAACTCTTTCTGCAAATCTATTGCACAAAAATTAACTAAAAAATTTGTTCATTAAAAACACTTATAACTATTTATTTTACTAAGACAACCTGTCCTGGTGTCTTAAGTAAACTTGTTCAGCTTTAAATTTATATATACTCTACAAATATCATACTTTTAGCTTTTAAACTCATTTAGAAAACTGTACTGATGGCCTTTGGCTCCAGTTTTAACAATTAATTTTTTTTCACAATTTTTACAGTAATAACATATTCTTTACTCTTAATTAAAGTTGTAATACATATTTGCCTGATCAAAACAAGTCCTAAATGAAGAATTTTGACCTAATATTAGACGAATTACAACAAAATTTCTCTTTTACTCTCTTATAAAACTTTTTCTTTCTTCTATTTTTGTTCCTACCTGCCCCCTTTCTCCCTTACACATTTTTCATAAGACCATACTATCATTTCCCAATCCATATTTTATTAATTTGCACATAAATTTTCTGTAACCTATCTATAAATAGAAATCCATTCACACAAACCAATTATTTCTATATTTGGTTCTTAT